AAAAATATTTTTGCTTGAACGCTGATCTTTGTTTTGCTGAACGTCAAAGGTTTTTTTAACTTGGGGACGATGGACGTGTTGTTTTTTTTCCGCAGATTGTTGTTGTTTCTTTTTTTCAAGCATGTTTTTTGAGTATGTGCAGCGGCGTGCATGCGCCTGCGTAAAGGCAGCAGACGCAGTTGGACCGAGCCCTTGCGTGGCTGCAAACATGAAACGCCTCCTCGAGCTAGAAACACGGCTAGTGCCAAAGACTTGGTGAAGTGCTTCAGATCTCACTTCAAAGACCTGGACCCGGCAGCTTTCAGAAAGGATGTGGAGGAGGTTGTAGCACAGTATGAGGGCTTGCTGGCAGACATCATGGATGAGACAGTTCGGCCTTCAGAGTCTGTGCTGAGGGACGGCTTGGTCAGATCTTATGACGTCAGTGGCAAGGATGCTCGCGCAGTGGCAAGGGACATATCTGCTTGCTTCAAGCATTTGAGGAGCAAGCTGCAGTCCAGCAGTTCCGGGAAGAAGCTCACGCCCAGTGTGTGGAGGCTTGTGTCGAAGCTCAAGCAGCTTACAGGGCAAGGCACTCCGCAGAAAGCCATGGATCCCATGAAAGAACGCGAGCCCGTCGAGACACCTGGCGCAGCACAGGCTCTTCCTGCAGGTGACCCTGCACCCTTTAAGCCAAGCAGAAGATACCGTTTCAAAAGGAAGGCTACAGCTTCGTGCGATGTTTTCAGCATGTGTGGTCTTCCAGCCACTGCCAGTAATGCATCAGTTGACGATGAGGCAGCTGCAGAGGCCTCTGACGTGGGAGAGGCAGACCAGGTGGACTCAGATTCAGATGTTTTGGTTGTGAAAGACTCGGAGGAAGAGGATCTCCAGGCAGCTGCTGCAATCCCTTTGGCAAAAGCGTGCTTTGACCCCAGCCAGGGCTGCTATGTCAAAGCCTTGGAAGGAGGCAAGTGCATTCATGGCGAGTTGAATTGAAGGAAGGAGCAGCTGGGTTTTGCATGGTTCACTTCCCAGACGAAGAGCCATTTGAGAGCCAAGTCCCGAATCTATGGCTGTCGAGTCGCAAAAGCGCGCCGGCTTTCAAGTTCTCCAAGCGCGGCAAGGCCACCTTCGGAAAGGCTAAGAAGAAGGCGAAGCGAGCCGCACAGCCTGCTGGAAAGGAGGCAGAGGCTACTGTGGGATCCAGCGAGTCCGGCGAGAGCAACCAGGAGTTGCTAGCAGCCGCGCCTCTGGAGCTGGAGTCTTGGAACGGGTACCCTCTAGCTGGTATGCCGCAGGAGGCGCTGCCGCCTCCCGGATGCTCAGGCCTGCACTCCTACACCGTGAAGGCTCTGATCCTTGGCACTAGTGTGAGTATAGATGTTCTCATGCGAGGCAAGGCCTTTTATATAAAAAGACCAGAAATCTGCAAGGGGCAGCACAGTTGGTCGAAGCACAGCAGCATCACGGAGTGCTGGGTTCAGTGCCTTGAAAAAATCAAGGACACGCTAAGGGACGAGAAGGACGCTGTGCCAAATTTGGAGTGAACATATTGCATTTGAACAAACCAACTGGATCGCTTAAAAAGGCCTGCTCCGCAGACCATGCCGTTTTTGGATTTGCATGACGTTTTGAGCAGCATCAATTGTTTGCAAGATTTTTTGGGGTTTGTTGAGTTGCATGACCGTGTGTGTTTGTGCGTTGCGTGAGCGTTTGGACCGCAGCCATTTTTATGTGCGCACCCTTTCAGGACTTTGCTGGCAAGCATGCGTGTATATGCAGTTGTTGATGTCACTTGCGCCTTGTGCATGGCGCAGGCCTCCTTGGCAGGAGGGTATAGCTTGATCTCTTTTGCGCAGGCCGCGCCGCGTCGAAGGTTGCCAGATCTTCTTGTGCATGGCCAGGACTGATCCTTCAGGAAGTTTCTTTGTGAAGGCCATCCTCCTTGGCAGGAGGAATTCAATGTTGAAGTGCAGTTGCCGCGCATGCATGCGTGCCCTGACTTAGTCTGCAGGTGATGATGCCAGCATCTGCCGGCCCAAAGTCTCCTTGGAGGAGACAGGGTTGCGCGCGAGCTCTTTGTTAACTCATTGCTTTGTTCTGAGATGCTTTGGCCATGTTGCTTGCATGACAAATGTGCGCTTGTTGGCAGATATGTTTGAGCTCAAGTGGCTATGATGACAGGCATGTCAGCACATGATTGCATGATATGGTCACAGTCAGGCAGCTTGCATAATCATGGCTGGCAGTAGCAAGAGCGGCTATGGCAAAGAGTGGAGCAAAGAGTGGAAAGGCCCGATCCGGGCTTGGAAGGGGTCTGATTGGGGCAACGAGGCCTTGCTAGACCTCAGGTTTTGCAAGGCTTGCAAGACGAAATCGTATCCCAGAGGATCGCTATGCGCGAATTTGTTGTGCAGCCAGTACTACATGCACCAACAGCCATCCTTGGCAATGTGGAAGAAAGGAGTGAGTGAAGAATGTTGGTCGCCGCAGTCCTGGCGTCAGAGCGGATTCAGCGATGCGGTTTACCAGAGGCACCTCACAGAGGAGTGGGCCCAGATGGAGGAGGAAGAGCACGAAGATTCGGACGAGATGGAAAAAGTCGTCATCGAAGAGGTGGCCAGCAGTGAGGAAGAGACCGCTGCTTGGAAGAAGCAGCAAGAGGTGCCTGCGGAGGAAGGTGATGCGGCCCGGGCAGGGTACCAGTGGGCAGTGAAGGAAAAAAAGGCAGCCGAGCTCTTGAGCGCCAGCATTAAGATGGAGAAAAGTGCCGATGTCCCTTTGGAGACAAAATCCTACTATGCGAAGTGGGCTTTGCAGGAGGCCCAAGGAAGGGACGAAGCTCAGGAGAAAGCAAAAATGCTTGGGAAACCCGCAGAGGATTTCAAAGAGCTGGCAACTCTGCACCCTTGGCGTGTTGGTGGAAAGGAGCGCCAGGAAGAAAAAAAGAATGAGAATGAGAAGAATGAGAATGAGAAGAATGAGAATGAAAAGAATGAGAATGAAAAGAATGAGAATGAAAAGAATGAGAAGAATGAGCAGCCGGCGGTGGTGGCCACTCAGCAGGATGCGTTTGAAAGCTGGCAAAGATCCTACTGGGGGACAGGTGCTTGGGCGCGCGACCACGGCTGGGAGGAAGAGCCCGCGAAGGGTAAAAAAAATAAGGGACGGAAGCGAAAAGCTTGGTTGGAGGCTCAGATCGATTCTTTGAAGGTGAATGGAAGGTGGGTTGGGCCTGGCCATCCCAGCGCAGTGGCAAAGGCCATCCGGCTGGCCAAGGACTGCCTTGAGAGATCACATTGATTTGCCATGTTTTTTTGGGAGTGTCCTTTTTTGTGTGTGAATCTACCCTGCAGGAAGGCGATACTTTCAAGAAGCCCGAGAATAAGCCCGCAGCAGATCCGTCGGAGAAGGAGGCCAGCTTTATTTTTTTTTACGGTTTTGATACTTGTGCAAGACGCTTGTCCTGACCAGGCAGATGCTTGAGTGGCCAGATCAGATCACGATACCGTGGAATCTTCGAGCGTGATGGGAAAATGCATGCCAGATGTGCTCAAACTTGTTTGCCTGGTCAAGTTGCCATGTTTCTTGCATCTTGCCAAACATGTCTGGGGTGTAGGAGCGTGCTTGGACAGCTGCTGCCTCAGACAAAAGGCCTCCTTGGTGGGAGGATTTGTTTTTTGAGAAGGACTACCTCCTTGGCAGGAGGCTTAATTGGTATGGTCTTAGATTGACTTGCGATCAAAGATGCATTTGTTTGTCTTTTTGGCATGTCTGCATCTTTGATTCACATTGCAAGGTGCTAGGAATTCCTTTAACTCAGATGTTATCCTTGTGGACTTCGCCATGCAGCCAGGGCCTCAGAATATCAGACTTGTAGCCACTGTTCAAGTATGTTGCTGGTTGTAAGCGCCTTGCAGTGCTGGTAGACTGTGGTTTGACTTGACTTGGTCTGTGTGCATGGCCATGGCAAGCCTCCTGAGAAGGAGGCATCCTCCTTGGAAGGAGGCTGGCACCTTCACTAATAGACATTGGGGCTGTGTGCCCATTGATGGGTTTCAGCTTGCAGTCAAGTGTGTGCATTGTTGTTTGGTGTGACTTGCCAAGTTTCTTCGGTCTTGCAGCTTCACTGATTTGATATTGATCGCACCATGATCACTGCATTTGGTATTGGTTAGGAAATCAACAACACACAGAAAATTTTTAACAATCATTTTTTAACAAATTTTTAACTGTTAAAAATTTTGATTTTAAAAGGAAACTCCATTTAAAATCAAAATTTTTAACAGTTAAAAATTTGTTAAAAAATGATTGTTAAAAATTATTGTCCGGGTGTGGGAGTAATATAATATATTTGTGGGTGCAGGCAACCCGGGATGGGGTTGTGACTTGATATAGTTGTTTATTTTTGTTTGGTGTATACATTGCATTTTGAAGGATTACAGTAGTGCTATACATTTGACATGAATCTATGAAGTTTGAATCAGGTAGGATTGAGTTTGCTGTTTGACACTCCCTTGTGAGCCGATGGCGATGGTTTGCAGCAATTCTGGTTTGTTTTAGCCAGATCCCCACAGTTGTCAGCCATGGTATGGCCTGATGGGGATCCCGTGCTGCTAAGCTACTGGAGCAATTTGGCAGGAACAATCTGTCATGTAAGCCTTCATCAGTCAGGCTGGGAGAGCAGGACGCCTTGGTACAGATTGCCTGAGAACATTGTACCATCGCCAAGTCTCCTGAGTAGTTTGCAGCAAAGCCTGCCCAATGCTGGAGATAATTTTGGGCCAGGTAGAAACGAACTAGAAGATCTCAGAAGGATGTACGGTTTCAGAGGCTGAGCTTGGCATTGGAGTGTGCCAAAACAAAAGGCTCGGGCGCATAGTTTGAATATCAATCCAGAGTGTTTAAGATAAAGACACGCGCGCGGCAGTGTTTCTCTAGGTGTCGAATGTTGAGAAGGCTCAAGCTTAGGTCAGGTAAGGATCATGGCTCCCAAAATGGGGAAGACTGCCAAAGCTATGGCTGCAAAGTCAGCTGCCAAAGCTACAGCTGGCAAGAAAGTCAAAAAGGAAGTGAAAACAACGCCCAAGGCAAAGCCGAAGCGTGTCAAGGAGCCTGTTTTGGAGACTGTTGGCGATGCCTCGGCCTCAGACCAGGCTGCCAAAAGGGAAGATGGCCAGGCGCCCATGGAGCATGATGGGTCTGGGGCCCCACCAAGCCAGCTGGGCTACGCCAGAGGCACAGTGAGCGCGCTTCTCACTTCGCTAAAATACCAAGTGAAGGCAAAGAAAACCAGTGACTCCCAGAAGGATGACGCACAGAAGGTGTTGCAGGACCGCCGCATGCATGTTTGAGTTTGTAGTGGGCTTCTTGGCCAGCTACTTAACTGACAGCTTGATCTCCTTGGTAGGAGTACGAAGCGGGCACCATTGAGGAGAAGAAGTTGATTCTGGACAAACTGCAAGAATTCGGAGTGAAGAATTGCAGCTGGGTCCACAGCCTGGAGTCCCTGACATCTAACATTAAGGACGAGACTGAGTCCTTGGTCACCAACTTCTTCACCAGGTTGTTTGGCTTAGTAGTGGCTTTTGTTTTTCTCTTCTGCAGTTTCATGGCTTGCTAGCAGCATTCTGGGATTGCGCCAACGCAGCTGAGGCAAGGGATCTTCGAAATCGAGCATATTGACACAGCCGGCCTGTCAGAAAATGACAAGGATGAGATTTTGGAGGAGATCCTCTCCAAATCTGAGAAGAGCTTTGGCCACTCGAGGCAGGTGCAAGAGCACTCAAAGTTCAAGCAGTTGCACAAGTACCTTTTTGTTTACACCAAGGGCAAGAAGAACACTGAGGGCACAAGGACAAGCAGCAGCATGTCAAGCACTGCTGCGGGCATGAAGGGCAAGGCAAGCCAAAAGATGGCTTTGGACTTGCTGGGCCGACCAGAGTTGGCCAGTTCTTCTTAAGACCTTCTTTTCAGTTCTGCGCGTGTCCCGCAAGCTTCTAAATCGGTTTCGTTGTTCAAATCCAAGTTCGGGGCCAAAATCGCAAATTTTGCCACGCGCTAAATTTGCGCGCTTTCTAGGTCGGGCCCTCTTGGCCGCGGCTGAGCTGCGGGCGCGCCGGGGCCCCGCCGCGGGGCTGGTGGCCCGGTGGTCCTGCGTCCGTCTCTGAAGCGGGTGGTCCCGGCTCGGTTCCTTCCTGGCGCGCGCTTTGCGCTGCGTCAGCGCGTGCTCTGAAAGCTTTCTTTTCAATTCTCTGTATTGCCCGCGAGTTTCTATATCTGTTTTGCTGCTCGAATCCAAGTTCGGATTGATGGGCGCGTTCGTGACCTTCTAGGACAACGACGCGGGCTCGAAGAGCCACGTGTTGGCCGCAGGACGTGGGCCCCCATCGGGAGGAGAGCCTCCTGGAGTTGCAGATGCAGCTGGGCAGCCTGCAGCACCCGCGCAACCCCACGCAGGGAGCCTCGGAGCACTTCCACTTCCTCTCGGTCCTTGTGGGTGGTCCCGGCCTGCCGGGCAATGTGTTTCGTGGCGGCGCCGTGGTTTTCCACTTCCGGCGGTCGGCTCTCTGAGCATTTTCGCGACGAAACGCTCTTGGCTTTGCGCGGCGCACAAGCTGGTGGGACGTGCTGCAACTCAGCTAAACGCGAACTCGAAATCATCGCCAAGCCGTTGAGGCTGCTTCATGAAGCGCTTCTCAGCGGGCGTAGTTTCCTGACCCCTTGCGCGCAGAAACTCCCAACTACTCTCTGCCCTGGCAGCCTATCGCCTGCCGTTTGTCAATTCGTCTTGGTCGCTGCTCGCCCGATTCTTGCAATCTGTCACCTACTTCGTTGGTCGCTCTGCGCGCGCGCCCTCTCGCCGCTTTGCTTTCTGCGTTCGATTTGTCGATTTGCGCTGGTGTAAAAGCTGGCCCTTGCTAGCGGGCCTGGGTGGGTGGGATTGAGATCGAAACTTTTGATTGACGTCGCTATGAAGATTTCCATGTCTCAAACCCTGTGAACCCTAAACCCTAAACCCTAAACCCTAAACCCTAAACCCTAAACCCTAAACCCTAAACCCTAAACTTGTTTATCTATATTAATTTAAACCCTAAAGGAAATTGCGGCTAGTGAGCTGAGCTTTTTCGGCGCTCCAAAACGTTGGCCCTGTCAGCCAATAAACCCTAAACTTTTTTCTGACCCTCGTTTGCTGGCAGGGCCATCATTTTGGAGCCTCTACTCGGCGAGCGGTTTTTCGTGGCCCTGTCGTGGTTTCGGGCCGCCGACCTTCAAAAACTCGTGATTTTTTGCGATTTTCAAAACGCCCGCGCAACCCTCTGCGGACTTTGGGCTGGTCGACCTTCGAAAACTCGTGGTTTTTTGCGATTTTCAAATCGCCCGCGCGACCCTCTGCGGACTTTGGGCTGGTCGACCTTTGAGAACTCGTGGTTTTTTGCGATTTTCAAATCGCCCGCGCGACCCTCTGCGGACTTTGGGCTGGTCGACCTTCGAAAACTCGTGGTTTTTTGCGATTTTCAAATCGCCCGCGCGACCCTCTGCGGACTTTGGGCTGGTCGACCTTTGAAAACTCGTGGTTTTTTGCGATTTTCAAATCGCCCGCGCGACCCTCTGCGGACTTTGGGCTGGTCGACCTTCGAAAACTCGCGGTTTTTTGCGATTTTCAATTCGCCCGCGCGATCCTCTGCGGAGTTTCGCGTGGCTAAATCGCTCTCGTCGTGGCGCGGCGCGCGTTTTCTTAAGGCCGTAAACCCTTAACCGTTGCCGAGCCATCGGGATTTGCTCCAGAGCGCGCTAGATGTGAGCTCGAAGCGTTGCCGAGCCATTGGGATTGCTTCTGACACGCTTCTCAAGAACTTCTCACTGAGCGCTCACGCGCGGGCTCAACTTTTTTCGTTGAACTTCTGCTATCAAACTTTCTTTTCAAAAACTTTGCTTTCGAAGCTTTTCTCACGCAAATCCGAGACCTCTTTCTCCGCGACGATCTTAAATTTGTCGCGAAAGATTTGGCTGCCCAATGAAATGGGAGCTTGGGTGGGTGGTGTTTTCAACCAGCAACTGTGGATGAAGCGCTCCTTGTGATTTGCTATCCTGGAATTTGGATTGACCCTAAACCCTAAACCCTAAACCCTAAACCCTAAACCCTAAACCCTAAACCCTAAACCGGTTTAGGGTTTAGGGTTTAGGGTTTAGGGTTTAGGGTTTAGGGTTTAGGGTTTAGGGTGTGCAGAAGTGGTTGCTCGCTCGGGGATAAAATCCCCCAAGCCGCTCGCCTTGCGTCGCCAAGTTCGCCCGCCCCAGCCACCCAAGGTAAAGACTTTGAGGGTTTAGGGTTCCATTCGAGGTGGAACCCTTGAACGGGTTCCAAGCCAACGTGGCGCCGTCTGAAGCAGCTGGGCTGCCAGCTGCCTGCCTTGCTAAACTTCTAGCCTGCGCAGGCGTGGGTCGCGCTGCAAAGCGGCGTTGCGCGCTGCGCTGGCCTGGGCGCGGGCTGCGGCGGCAAGTACCATGTAGACGGCGTCTACATAAACCTCAGCGTCCACAAGGCGGGCGGATGACAGAGTGCGTGGAGTTGCCTAGAAGAAGTAGACGACGTCTAACTGATCCGCGGGGCGGGTTCCGCACGAGCGCGTCGCACGCTGCGTTTGCTTGGGCGTGGGCTGCGGCGGCAAGTACCATGTAGACGGCGTCTACATAATCCTCAGCGTCCACAAGGTGGCCGCCAGCTGCTTGCTTCGCTAACCTTTTCCTGCACAGGCGTGGGTCACGCTACAAAGCGTGGAGTTGCCAAGGCGCCAAGACCGGCTGCCCAAACGCGCGTGGGCCAAGCGCGCGTTGATGTTGTCAGCGTCCACAAGGCGGGCGGGCGGACGACAGAGTGCGTGGAGTTGCCCAGGCTTGCGCAGGCCGCCAAGAAGAAGTAGACGACGTCTAACTGATCCGCGGGGCGGGTTCCACACGAGCGCGTCGCACGCGGCGTTTGCCTGGGCGTGGGCTGCGGCGGCAAGTACCATGTAGACGGCGTCGACATAATCCTCAGCGTCCACAAGGTGGCCGCCAGCTGCTTGCTTCGCTAGGGTCACGCTGCAAAGCGTGGAGTTGCCAAGGCGCCAAGACCGGCTGCCCAAACGCGCATGGGCCAAGCGCGCGTTGATGTTGTCTGCAAGCAAGCCGCAGAACTGCGCGTGTCAGGCGCTGCGCGCTTCACCGCGAGATCAACAAGGGTCCTTGCGCTCGGCGCGCAAGAAGATCCACAAGGCTCCTTGCGCTTGGCGCACACCCCCCCCATCCGGGGCAGGTCCACATATTACCCGTATGCAAAAGTTATCAGCGGCGCAAGAAGCGGCCCGCCGTGTACCCCCCCCAGCTGGGGCAGGCCCCGCTATTACCCGTATGCAAAAGTTATCAGCAGTGCACAAAGCGACCTCCGTAGCCAAATGGTGCAGGCTTTAGGGTAATCCTATATTGGTTGCGCCAAGGGGTGTGGGTCGTCGTGCCACTTGCAGAGCCGCACAGCGGTTGTCCTGCTAGGCTTGACCCTAGCAGGCCCTCAGGTTCGCGCTGGCGTCTCGGCTTAACCTCGAGCCCGAAGGCTCGCATGCCCATGTATATGGCCAGAGGCATGCTCGCCTGTTTAGGGTCAATCCAAATCCAGGATAGCAAATCACAAGGAGCGCTTCATCGCAGTTTCTAGTTGAAAAACACCACCCACCCAAGCTCCCATTTCATTGGGCAGCCAAATTTTGGCGACAAGTTGGAGGCCGGTTGCCGTTGAGCGGCCCTGAATAGCGTGCCTTTTTAATCGCAAACTATCAGCTACAGGATCTTGGACTTGCACGAAAAAGCTTCGAAAGTAGAGTTTTTGCAAAGAAAGTTTAATAGCAAGAGTTCGACGAAGCAAGTTGAGCCGCGCTAGCGCTGAGTTGAGCCGCGCGCTAGTGCTGAGTGAGAAGCGCTTCAGAAGCAATCCCAATGGCTTGGCGATGGTTTCGAGCTCGCAGCTAGTCTGCGTTGGTGCAAACCCCACTGGCTTGGCAACGGTTTAGGTCTCGCAGCTTCGTCAAAATGAGCGCCGCGCCGCAACGAGAGCGATTCGACCGCGCGAAACTCCGCAGAGGGTCGCGCAAGCAATTTGAAAATCGCAAAAAAACACGAGTTTTCGAAGAATGAGAAGCACCTCAGAGGCAGTTCCAATGGCTCGGCCACGATTTCGAGCTCGCGCTAAGAACGCTCTGGAGCAAATCCCATTGGCTCGGCAACGGTAGCTTCAAGAAAATGAGCACCGCGCCACAGCGGGAGCGATTCGACCACGCGAAACTCCGCAGAGGGTCGCGCGAGCGATTTGAAAATCGCAAAAAACCACGAGTTTTCGAGGGCCGACAGCCCAAAGTCCGCAGAGGGTCGCGCGGGCAATTTGAAAATCGCAAAAAACCACGAGTTTTTGAAGGTCGACCAGCCCAAAGTCCGCAGAGGGTCGCGCGGGCGAATTGAAAATCGTAAAAAACCACGAGTTTTTGAAGGTCGGCGGCCCAAAACCGCGACAGGGCCACGAAAAACAGCTCGCCAAGTAGAGGCTCCAAAATGACGGCCCTGCCAGCAAACGAGGATCGGAAAAAAGTTTAGGGTTTATTTGCTGACAGGGCCAACGTTTTGGAGGGCCGAAAAAGCTCAGTTCACTAAACGCATTTTCCTTTAGGGTTTAAATTAATATAGATAAACAAGTTTAGGGTTTAGGGTTTAGGGTCAATCCAAATCCCAGGATAGCAAATCACAAGGAGCGCTCCATTCACAGTTTCTAGTTGAAAAACACCACCCACCCAAGCTCCCATTTCATTGGGCAGTCAAATTTTGGCGACAAGTTGGAGCCCGTTGCCGAGCGGCTGAATCGCGCGCTTTTTAATCGCAAACTATCAGCTACAGGATCTTGGATTTGGCACAGGATCTTGGATTTGGACGAAAAAA